AACTCCCGGGGTGTGTGGAAGCTGGAAGGGAAGGGAAAGCAAGATTCAATGGAGAGGAAAATGTTTCCCAAAAAAGAGAAGTAGTTTCAGAAATAAGAACTACTGAGCACAATCTCCACATTGCTCAAACTGTATCTATGGTAAAAGGTCTGTGGCCTGCAATGCTCCCAGATTGGGAGAGTGGGAGCTGAGAACAGAAACTTGTGCAGAGATGCAATGAGCATTCTCCTGCAAGAAGAAGAAGAAGAAGAGATTGGATTTATACCCCGCCCTTCACTTGGGAGTCTCAGAGCGGCTTACAAACTCCTTTCCCTTCCCCTCCCCACAACAGACACCCTGTGAGGTGGGTGGGGCTGAGAGAACTCTGACACAAACTGCTCTTTTTCAAGGACAGCTGTGCCAGAGCTTGCGACTGACCCAAGGTCACATCAGCAGGTGCAAGTGGAGGAGTGGGGAATCAAACCCGGTTCTCCCAGATTAGAGTCCGCACACTTAACCACTACACCAAACTGGCTCTCAAGGGGAGATCTGTGACTTGCACATGATCTCTCCTGTCACAGCAATATAATCCCACCCTCAGAGGAGGCTGATCAGAAGGTGGCAAGACTAGAGCAGTGCAAAGATACAGCGGGCAGCCCCAAGTGTGGTTGGGTACTTTGGCTCACAGAGTCTTGCGTGTGCAACAAAACAGTACATCCCTATTTCTTCTTTTTCAAAAAATAAAAAAACATATAATTATTTTAAAAAGTGTTTGGGAATGACAGGGGCAGATGTTGGCTAGTGTGTCTTCTGCAGGAGAGCTTCAATCTGAGCCTGTCCCTGGTTATCTCTTAAGATCCAGCTCTTCTAAAGGCGGTAGAAATTAACTGTGTTGCAACAACGAAGCGGTTGTGACATCCCTATCATCCAGGATTTTATCTCTGATGTTGCTAAAGCTTCCCCTTGCACTCCACAAACTCCAAACGTGCTGACTACAAGCAGTGCCTTGATTTTGGGCTTTGGTTGCAGCAATCCCCCATAGCAGGCAGTGAGTACAGCTGGTTAGGATATCATCTCTCCCTTACAAGGGCCCAGCTTTCATTTCTCTCTGCACTCACCTTTTCCCCTTACCCTGTTCTCCTGCCCATCATCACTACCCCAAGCTGTTTTTATCCTTAATTATCAAGGTCAGTATAGGCTTCTCTCTCTGGTAGCTGCTCTCCAAGGTCTCGGGCAGAGGTAGTTCACACTATCTGTTATGAAGCCCTTTTAACTGGAGATGCCGGGGGAAGATCCTGGAACCTTTTAGTGTACAAGGCAGATGTTCTGCCACTGAGCTATGCCCCTACCTGTTCCCAAGCCCTTTTAACTGGAGATGCCTGGGGAAGATCTTGGAACCTTTTAGTGTAGAAGGCAGATGCTCTGCCACTGAGCTATGCCCCTACCTGTTCATGGAACACTTAAACACTGCTTACCAAACGATGAACAGGGCTATTTCAGCTTTCAGCAGAGAAGATCTCTCTTTCATACCCAGCCACCCGTTGGCACAGCTGCGAACCAGCAAACAGAATTCTGTGACTTGATCAACTCTTTGAAAGCTACGACTCATTTTTGCGGACAGGCAAACCACAATGACAGTTCTTCGAAACTCACTGCCACACACAACCAGGCAGATGACAATTAAACAGCTGTAATATGTCAGCGAGCCAGACAGACAAGGCAAAAGCACATCAGAGAATTAACAGCGGCCAGAAAAACAAAGCAAGTGAGCCCTACACTTTGGGGAGGCACAGGGTTAGGCGCAACTCCTGAGGTGTCCTAAAATATATCCGACTGTCATACTCGCATAGGTAAAGCAGTAGTCTCAAGAACCACCATGATTTGGGGGGGGGGGCAGAACCTGTCCTCCAGAAGTTCACTCACTGGCCCAGGCCACACTCACCTAGAGCAAGTCAGAGATGTGCTGCACTTCTGTGCATAAGGCAGACAGATTCATGGAGGACAGAGGCCCATCAGTGGCTACTAGCCATGGTAACTAAGGAAACTCCACATTTGGGGGCAGCAAACCTCTGAATATCAGTGTTGGGAGGCAACATCAGGGGAGGGCCTCGGCCTCTATGCCCTGTCGTTGGCCCTCCAGAAGAAGAAGAAGAAGAAGAGATTGGATTTATACCCCGCCCTTCACTGGGAGTCTCAGAGCGGCTTACAAACTCCTTTCCCTTCCCCTCCCCACAACAGACACCCTGTGAGGTGGGTGGGGCTGAGAGAACTCTGACACAAACGGCTCTTTTTCGAGGACAGCTGTGCCAGAGCTTGTGACTGACCCAAGGTCACATCAGCAGGTGCAAGTGGAGGAGTGGGGAATCAAACCCGGTTCTCCCAGATTAGAGTCCGCACACTTAACCACTACACCAAACTGGCTCTCACTGGCTGGTCACTGAGTGAGACAGGATACTGGAATCGTCTGCTCCAGCAGGGCTCTTCTTATGTTCTTACACAGGCTTGCCGGGCAAAGCTGACGCTTCCATCAAAAGAACCTAAGAGCACGCTGTGGCATAAGACCCAATGGTCCAGCGACACATCTGGGAGGCACAAAACTCCACTGCATGTGTGATACAAAGTCCTCATGTGGTTTCCCAAACTTCTGAGGTAGGTTAGGCTGAAAGAGTGTGTGACTAGGCCAAGGTTACCTAGCAAGTTTCCACAGCAGACTGGGGACCTGAACCTAGTCCTCCCAGATCCCAGTTGGACCCTCTAACCGCTACATCCCATTGGCTCGATACTACAAAGAAATCAAGTGCATTTTCCCCATTATTTTAAACAAAACAGCTTACATTAAGAGGTACAGAGAAGAAAAGGGGTGGTTTAATTCTCCTGTTATGTAAGTCCAGATGCTAATCTCCCCCGCTTTCCTACCCAGTAACTTTGTGAAAATTGTGCAATTGTGAACATTTCACAAGTGCTTATTTTTGGGATGGTGACGTGGGTCTGGGTGCTGATGAACTCTGGGACCATGAAACACATTATCATCAGAAAACAGATACTCTCATGAGGTGCACGTATGGTGGTGGGTGCACTTTATCCTCCAGCCAAAACGTCCCACAGCCCTGCAGCTTCCACCGCTAAAGAATCCAGGCACCTGATGCATACCCTTGCAGTTCAACCCCCACACCGCCAATCCATGGGAAGCGGAGAACTCTTGCAGAATGCATGCAAGTCTTCCAGGCTGCCACACACAAACTTAAAAAAAAGAAATTCTGAAGTGAAAGATCTGTTTGACTGCTGATCTCTCTAACAGCTCCTTGACAGGCCCTGGGAACAGAACTCATGTGACAGGCCCTCCCACAAAGAGGCCTACCTTCAGCAGCCCCCCCCCCTCCACACAAACTCCACAGTTAGAAGAGGGATGTAGACTGCAAACACACGGCTTTGCTTTCATACCACCAAAGAGGACCCGCCAAGAGGACCCCCAGAACTGCCCCTTGCAGCTTGAGAGAAAAGAAAGAGGGGGAAAAAAACTTCTTAAAAGAGCAAACACTGAGCTTTGCGTCTGCTGACAAACAGGATAAGAAGGGGAGGGGAGAAAGAGGAAGGAGGAAACCTGACATGACCAGTGTTCCCTCTAAGCTGAGTTAGAGTGAGCTAGCTCACAGTTTTTTAGCCTCCGGCTCACACATTTTTGTCTCAGCTCAGGGAGGAGGATGGCTCCAGAGCAGACTAATGTATGCAGTAGCCAAATCGCTCGCTCACAACTTTAATGCCGGTAGCTCACAAAGTAGAATTTTTGCTCACAAGACTCCACAGCTTAAAGGGAACATTGGACATGACCAACCCCCCCCAACCCCTCCCCCCCAATCAAGTTGTAAGCTTGATGCTGGAGTCTTTTCAGGAAGGAGGGGATCTCCAGCAAACCTGCTCCACTAGCTAAGAGGTCCAAGTCCCGCAAAGTTCAACAGACATTACCTAGACTTAAGAGTGCAATGCTGAGCAAAGCCACACTCTTCCAAGCACAATGACTTTCAGTGGACTTAGAAAGGGGTAACTGTTTAGGCTTGCACTGCCAATCACATACAAATCAGTGGACTTCCCTTCTAGTTAGGAAACAGCTGCAGATCCCACACTCT